GAGCATCGCCGCCGCGCGGTGCAGCCGCCGAACTACCGCACTGGTCTATCGTGATGTTTTAGTATCTACCATGAAGCCATGCGAAGTGCTGCCCTTCGTTTACAGCAAAGCATTTAATCGCGTCCCGTTGCAAGCCCCACATTTACCAGACTGCACTCGCTATGCACCATTGTTCACTTAACGTCCCTCGGGCTGCGTTTATGTTTCTTCATGCAGCATTGCTTGATGCATCTTTCCATTTTTCCATTTCCAGTATCCATGTAACCCTCTCCATTATGTGGTTCTCTGTCTTCATTCTCACAACTTAGTCCTCATTTCTAGCTCTCGATCGCCATTGTTTCGACCATTTCCATCAGTCCCGATACCTGACTTTTCGTTTATCAGTCTTTATTGCTCAGTGTCTCGAGTTCTTATTACTGGGCAACCGGCCTTATATCCCCATTCTCTCGTTTCCATTTGATAATCCTCTGTTATGTGGACACGGAGATCGCGAGTCCACGCCTCGCCTGTGGCCCAATGATCGCTATGCACGGCTTCGGCGGTACAAAAGCCACGATCAGAACTATGACAAAATGTATGGATTCATTCGCCTTTTGTTTTGTTTGGCTTAGTTTGGCTGCCCCGCCTGCTAGGATTTTAGCGCAGTGGAATACGAGTGAAAGAAAGAGGGGACAGGGGACCATGAATCTCCCATTTGTCGCGACCGTTCAGCATTTCCCTAGCATGTATTCGGACACAGTCAACTTCATTAATAGTTGGCTCTACTTCTTGAAACGTGTATGTCTTTGTGAAACGGCTCTTTTGGTATGTATGGAGCAGGACAACATAAATGTGATATCTTTAATAATGCGGTTGCACTAAGACGCTATGCTCTATGCAGCACACCTATGCGCTATACGATTTAGTAGCCAGGAGCCACGGGATAGCCTTTCGCTATTCCATGGTTCCCGTGCATAACTCAGCACAACCGTTTTATGTGTGACACAAGGAGATAATTCGCAAGGTGCCCATGATCGCCAGCCATGATAACCAGCCATGATGACCAGCCATGATGACCAGACATGATGATCAGGCATGACGACCAGCCATGATGACCGCGCCATGTAGTGCAGTAAAGTCAGGTCGGAGAGCTCAAAGGGGAAATGTTTCTCTTCCTGGGCGGTAAAACGATCATGAAACCGGAGGTGCATTTGTGCGACGGATGCAGTGCTCTGAATATATCAGCTCATTCAAGTTTTCCGTTTTGCTGTGCTAAAATCACGCCCATCATCTCAATATAAAACAGCTGAATAAAGAAACCCACGGCCGTTTCGGAATAAGAAATTCGTCGTTGAATTTAACATGTCAAGGCCTATCTGGATGCATTGTGAAGACGCAAGTCATTGGCTCCAGCACCGACATGGTGAGTTGTTGGGCTAACCCCATCATGCGGCCAGAGTCGTCGGGCTTTCGCAAATCGCTCAGCTGACATTTCGTTACAACAGCGTCCGATAGCGATGCAGGTCACCACTGACCACTCCGGCGCTGCGTCCCAACGGCACATGACCGACTGCCCGGGGCTGACATCTGCCGGTAAAGAACAGCATTAGTGTACCCGGAATGCAGCAATGCTTCCATCAAACGTTAAGAAAACGTATTTGGGACCGCTTAAAGCATAATGCATCGATCTGCCGATAAATTCGAAGTCGTTACGTGTTTTGGCTTTCACTTAACCCTTAAACAAACCAGTGGGGTGTCGGGGAAAAATCACGTCCCCAATGTATTTAATGTGTAGAGAAGTACCTACCTGTTACTTTGTATACTTCGCAGTGCATTAACTGTCGAAATTGTTTGTTTCTCTTCATAACGTTTTCCCATGACGTAAACTGATAGGGGTTCGATACGACAGGACTATTGCAGGTTTGCGATGCGACCTACCCTGTCATTTCTTGATTAAGAATGAGAGAATCTCACGTAAAACGCAGTGGATTGGCGTCGAGGTTCTCTCGCAATTGTCAAAAAGTTGCATGTAGTTACTTGCTAGGTCAATAAATGTTCCCATTATGGCAGACCAACGGTGAAATTTTCCTGATAATCACACTATTCCAGATCGGCAAGCCAGATTCGAAACGATGCCACATAGCAGCATTTAACACGCAAGGATGCGTTTTTGTTTAATTCTGAACGCTTAAAAGAGTGGCTTTCTGTGCTTTGAACATACTTTTATGTGGCAGTGGCGGCCCACCACGCGCGATTGGCAGATTTGTCCGTTGCCGCCGGCATCCTGCGCCTGCCGTGCATCGTCGTGCAGTGTTTTTTTTAGAGATTTAATCCGAACCCCTTGAATGGATGGATTTCTGAGACCAGGGCTAACGCTAAGCCGTGCTCGCTATGGGAGCCCTGATCCCTACCATCCGATCCCGCAATTCCAGGCAACGGTATAATTTAAAACGAAAGTTTAACGTGCCACAGTGTTCGGCACGATCCGTCCTGCCCTCTGACGTCAACTGACCTTTGGCGCGGCCGCTGCCACCGGCCGCAGGCCATACCTGTCAAGGACAAATAGCGAGCACCTAAAACGATTCGAATTAACCCCGCCACGGTTGGGTAAACCGGAATGGCCAACTAACCAACTGAGCCACCGGGATGGAGTGTGCCTGAGAAGAACTTGGTACTCGGAAACTAGACAAGCTAGAGATACATATTTTGTGTCAAAACACGCGCAATGAATGTCCTATAAACTTTCGGGAACTTACGTACGATTACACGACATACTGGAAAGTTATCTCCTGAAAACGTTAGGGGTGAGAGGGGTTGTTCCGCTCTCCCCTCCCATCAGGGCAAGGGGTAAGGTAAATCATTCCTTATGAGCGATTTCCCAGAATAAGTCAGGAATGATAATACAAAAACGTTAGGGGTGGGAGGGGTTGTTTTGCACTCCCCTCCCCCATCAGGGCAAGGGTTAGGGTAAATCATTCCTTATGAGCGATCTCCCAGAAGAAGTCGGGATTGATAAGACAAAAACGCATCAAAACGGCTAATGGATGATATCGGATGGGTCGTTGGATCAGTCACATGCCTAGGCGGCCCTTGTAGCCGGCTTCTGACGAAAGGACTTCAGTTGTCAAGCGAGACCACTGACAGCGAAGCCAGCCAATGCCGTTCCAAACGGAAGAAGCTGGACTATCGAATCCGATGTACAACAACGACTAGCGTAAATAGCGGCGGTACAATTGCCACTTGCGTAAATAGCGGCGGTACAACAGCCACTAGTGTAAACAGTGGTCGCACAACAGCCACTAGCAAAAATAAGAGCGACATAACAGCCACTAGCGAAAAAAAAACACGACACAACAGCCACCAGAGTAAATAGCGGCGGCACAATTAGCGGAAAAAGTCACCGGCTTAGCCGAGGGTGCTTCAGGCCAAACTCTGCCCGGCCTAGAGCCCGCCTAGATGTCCAGCTCCTTCGCATAGTATGGATGAGATCGCCCAAAGCAGGCGTCAGTTGCAATGGGATTCTCCCATGTCAATGGCGAGGTCATCATGGAGGATGCAGGGTCTCTCCCCGGACTATAGGCGGGCGAGGCAGGCGCACGTCCCACACACCCAAAGGCAAAAGCGATTCGGCGATTGGCGTCATGAGACTGGCCTCCCAGTTTCGCATGGAAGGATATTTATGCGCCAGCCGTTAGCGAAAACGGCAAGCATATCAACTGGGAGTGACAGGTTTCTCTTTTCCGGAAGAAAGCTAGGTGAGCCTTTCATGTGGCTCTCCACTGAGGATATGTTTTTGGCATCGCCAGGGGCCAGATTGCGCCCACAGACTGTCGGACGGGGTGTCCGTCGGAACGTCTGTCCAGATCGCCCTTTCAAACTGTTTGACAGTGTCTGCCGGACAGTCTGCCCAAATTATATCCTACAGACTGTCTGGCAGTGTCTGTCGGACAGTCTCTTTAGACTGCACCCCCAGACTGTCTGACGGTGTCTGTCGGACCGTCTGTCCATATCGTGCTTTCAAACTGTCTGACAGTGTCTATCGGACAGTCTGTTCAGACTGCACCCTCAGACTGTCTGACAGTGTCTGTCGGACCGTCTGTCCACATTGTGCCTACAGACTGTCTGACAGTGTCTGCCGGACACTACAGACTGTCTGACAGTGTCTTTTGGAAGCCCTGTACCGGTGACATCGGTGCTCACAACACGGCAAACTGTTCACCACATGCACCGAGCCACTCCATTAAGCAATTAAGCACCGCTGAACATGCTTGTTCACTCGGAGCAGTCGATGTGCCGCTGAAAAAAAACACTTTAAATGTAACTCGGGGGGCTTGTGGTTCGTTCCGCACATCATAGCCACACAAAGACGTGGGTCCGCACACCAGACTCGCACAAGGACATGAGTCTGCACACCAGACCGACATAAAGACATGGCTCAACACACCAGGCCCGTGTAGAGGCATGGCTCCGCATACCATGGCTGTATAAACACATGGGTCAGAAGACTAAACCCGCACAGAGGCATGGGTCTGCATACCAGACTCGCACGGAGCCATGGATGGAGAATACAGCGCACCCGGCTGTGACGGCTCGAAGCATAACATTTCATCCGGCAGACGTGATTTGACCAATTTCGGATTGTTAACAGCCCCACGCGAGACTTTTACTGTGTGACTTTTTCGGGGTCATGCACTGATGAGAGGCTACCGACAGAGGAAGGGTCAAAGTAGAAAGTCAGAGGACGTGGTGGTGGTGGAGGCGCAAACGCTTCCTTAACCGATGCCTTCTCTAGTCACCACACGGTTTGCCTTTCCCACGTGCAGTGGAGGAGGCGCCAGTGGCCACCCACCCCCCCCCCCCCGCGCCACCATGCTCATGGGATGCAACATGTCGGCGGATGGCTGCCGGTAAACTGTGGGGCCGCCGCCCAGGCGGCTGGCCCCGCGTCCCCAGCTCTGACGGCGACGCACCCGTGCTGACCGCGCCGTCCACATGAACGGGAGCGAGCGGCAGACGCTTACCGGGACCTGGACCGTGGTACCGTTCCGCACGGTCGGGTACGAGTACAGCGGTACTACCGGGCTTCCGTTCCGGTTCGCCACGACTGGGCCGCGCGCCGCCTGCTGCTTCCCTCTCCGGCCGCTAGTTCGCGCCACCGTCCGGTCGCCATAGCGCGGGGCGCGGAAGGCGCGCTGGTTCGCGTCGCTGCCGCCAGGTGGTGGCGACTGGACAAAGTTCTGCACCTGGCCGTGCGGCAGGCTGGCGCTGGGGTACTGGTCGGCGTAGTTGGCGTTGCCGCTGTAGGGGTACGGCTGGTACTGGCTGTTGAGGTTGGCAAGCTGGCCTAGCTGCGCTGTGTTCGTGGCCATGGCGCCGTCAGTGCCGCGGCGTCTGCGCTCCTTGATCGCGTCAGTCGTTGCCACCGGTGGTACGACGCCAGGCGGAGGGACTTCACAGAGCAATCTCCGGCTGGAGAACAGGCCGGTCAGGCTCCGGTCGACTGAGAAGCCGTGCGCGGCTGATAGAGAGTTTCACAGAGGTCACCGTCGCTGCCCTCAGCACATTGGCCGTGTTCAACGCGCGAGAAAGAACAAACTGAAAGCTCCAAGCGTAGAATCGATGGAGCATTCCATCAGAGACGAGTTTCGTCGAAGGAGCTTTTCTGGATAGTTTTGCTAGGTTATGTGCAAAATAGTTTGGATGAGTGTGCTTGCGAGTTTTGCACAAACATGTCCCAGGCAAACAGGCCATATTTATTTTAAGCAAGTGATATCTGCTGAAAATATATTTAACGCCACAGACGGCAAAGCCTCATAATGTGCGCGAATGTTCATCGCCTGTAAAATTTTCCATCCGGGTCGACTTTGTCGCCTCGGCTGTACAGATTGTGGAACGTAACTCCCCCAGTGGCTGGGAAAAAAGGCCCAGCACGAATCAGAGCTACGAATGAATGTGATGTTTGACCTTCGAGCCCTTCGCATGACAGCACATATTACCTTGGGGTTATCAAATCACGTCAATTAACAACAGCATGTAAATGTGAGCATTGGCACGACTTCCAGATGAGGAGTGGTATCTTGGCTCGTTTGACTCGCATAACTAAGGACATCATGACGCTTACATAGAAATATTAGGTCATCACTACTGACGCAACAAACGTATGTAGGGGAGGGGTGTATGTATGCAGATGGCTCAACTACCCATCTGCAGTGAAATGAGAGATATATGAATACAGGAAGGAGCACTTCTAATTAGGCCCACAGCAACTATGGCCGCTGCGGCTTGCAGAGCACTCTTGACGAAGGGAATCTGGTTCGTAGTTGATGTACTGTATTGAAGCGCAATTTTTACAGTTTTCGTGACAGAAAACGCGACGGTGCTACTGAGAAACAATTTTGCGTCTCAGCACCTAATACGTCGATCACAAATTACCATAATTAGCTTCAAATCTCATTATCAAATAATGCAAACACAGTTTGAAATGGAGCTTGAATCTATATGTCTAGGGTCAATTGTATCTAGAAATCGATATCACAATCTACGCGTAAAATGAAGAGCCATGATACCTAGCAAACCTTCTTTTCCAGCACCAGCTATCAAACAGCGGTCGTGACCAGTGCCGCACGAACGACAGCCTGTATTTTACTTTAAAATTTTAAAGCCAATGAGCTTTTGATCCGGCTATTTCGGATTTAAACATGATAAACAAAACCGCGTAAGTATGGAACTTCAGGCACGTGATGCTGATCGAGCGAAAGCAAAGGTCCGTGTAAACCGCAACCAGTGCGATCCCGCATGAGCACTGCTAAGGGTTTAACATGCGCCTTTCCTATTTAACAACCCGACATCCACTCAAATATTTGAACGCTTGAAAAGTTCATCGGGTGAGCGCGATGCTCAGCATAGATATTCTCTGGTCGCCCACTGCCTTTACTCTGTCATTACCCCGCTCACATTACAACAGACAGGTCAACGATGATTAATATCTGCTATTTCCGATGCCTCGAAGGAGTGAAAGTTTCTGATGAGATAATAGAGCATGCATTGTAACTAATTGCGATCACGTGCCATGGTACAAGACATTGATATTGCGCTGTCTTCAGCTAGTAATTGTTCTCAAATACTGAAGCCTTCGGCAGTATAAAGCGAAAGGAAGGAAACGAGGTAAATGGGCAGCATGCAGTTTTAGAATACGCTCTATTTCCCATATCCTCAATTACTGATGAATTCTACGTGGGACATATTATAAATATATATTTATATTTTATATTTCAGTCATAACACACTTGCCGAAACTCGGCCATATATGGATGACCACAGTACTCTCGACGAAGTCTGTATGTATGTGTACAAAGGAAGGTGATATACATATATATATATATATATATATATATATATATGTATGTATGCATATATATATATGCATATATATAAACATATACATAGATCTATGTATATACGTATATATGTATATATTGATGTTGCTATTTCGGACATAAGCCTTTGCCGAAACTGGCCCATAAAAGGTTGAGCGAGGTTTGTACTCTTTCGGAGAAGGCTTGATATATATATATATATATATATATATATATATATATATGGTATGTATGGATGTTTAGTACAAACCTCGCTCAACCTTTTATGGGCCAGTTTCGGCAAAGGCTTATGTCCGAAATAGCAACATCAATATATACATATATACGTATATACATAGATCTATGTAATATATATATATTAATATATATATATATATATATATATATCTATATATATATATATATATATATTATGTGTGTGTGGTGTGTGTGTGTGGTGTGTGTGTGTGTGTGTGTGTGTGTGTGTGTGTGTATCACCTTGTTTTTATTCAACAACGAGAAACAAGGTCAATATAACTGCTCTCATGTATATGCAATGTTAATTACAGCCAAACTAAACAATGTATGATGTTTTGGGTGAGTTCAGATCCAGGCATTAACCTGGGTTGACTGCGCCCGACAAAACAACCAGAGTACTTGCTTCAAACTTTTTTACTGATCGCCATGGAAGTGCTCTTAAAAGGACTCAGGAAACTCCGAGGAGCGATATGCATTTATATTGCAAACAAATTCCACACTCCGTTCTGCGGAGTTCAAAAATGCTGAGAATGAAAGTAGATTATGGACACGCGTGGTCCCGCAAAGTACGCCAAGGCATGCCACCGAACGCGAACGTGAAGTTGTTTGAGACCCGAACACCGCAGCTGCATGCGGACTGGGAAGGAAAACATCAAGTTTTAACTCGCGATTTCATCGCTTTTGATGTTTTCCTTGTTCTAGTCTGGCCTCTGACAATGTCTGCCTGGCTCTTACTATTCTCTTCCGATAATGATCATGACAAGTGCCGAATTTAGCGTCTTCTGTTAACATTGTGCCGATGTCTGCTCCGTACGTCTTGCCACTTCCTCAGCACATGATCAAGGTTGAGATGTTATGTTGGCAGCCCAAAGACGAAGTCAAAGCAAGAGCTGGAGGCAAGGGGAGCGTTTCGAGGCTCTGCACACTTGCAGCAGCTGACGACTACGAACTTTAAACTCTCCCTGTGCACCGCACGCAGGTCCGGGGTTAATACAACAGTCACATTTCAATGTCTACTGCCCACCGTACAGGTAAACCAGGCCTTTTTATGAAAATCATTGAGTGGGGGATACCCAAGCGATATGACCAATCCCAAATATGAATTCATGTACCCCCGTCTCTAGACGCCGCCTCCAATTCAAACCTTTCCTTGAATTAGAGTCACTTTATGAAGAACTAGCCTTCGAATGAAGAACGACAGACAGATGTGACGAGTTGGCCGGAGTATACGCCGGGGCTATACCAACCTAGCGTGCCGATCACAAATCAACATAATGTAGTTGATTTGTGATCGGCATGCTAGGTTGTGTGAATAACAGCTATTCGGGGTTAGAATGGCTGTGAGTGGAGGAAGCGGGAATTTGTTCGTGCGCGGGGCATCTTCCCGCCGCACTTCGCATGTTCAAAGAGCCTTGAAGCCCTTATGAGGCTCCGCCATGCAAGTTGGAGCATTCCTCTGGGCAAAGTATGATAGGTAGCCTCGTGATCTATACCTTGCTATTGTGTTGCGGGCCGTTTCTTTCCTTCAAAAGTATGCAAAAGTCGTTTTAACCAGCTAAAGCATGAATGGTCTCTTTGTTTTTTGGGCAGGATGCGTAACAGTGGAAGTTTTCCAGCGCCCAAACAGTTTATCCCTAGACCGTCGGAGCGATCTGCTTTACGTTAGCGATGCTCTGAAAGCCATCCATCTCACAGCCGGCTGACGTCAAAACCGGGCTGACCAGGCCACGGCACGAGCCACGCCATCCCCACGGCATGTCTCCCATAACGCCGAACCGGTACCTCTGTGAAACTCTCTATCTGGCGGGGGCGCGTCTCACCCTGCGCGAGCTCTCTCACTGTGTCGCAAGTGTCAGCGGCCGGCGCCGTCGTCAGCGGGCGCGCCCGACTCCACAGCGGCTCGGGCCTAATCCAGGAGCAGCGCCGCCTCGTCACCGCACCGCACCACAGCCGCGCGCGCGCACTCTGGCCACTGCCGTCCGCCGTCTGCGACTGATCGGCCGCTGCCGCCGCCCGCCGCCGCCGCCGCCAGTGCCACACCGACACGTGACCGACCTGACCTGCGGCGGGGGAGTGCGACAGCCGCCACCGACACCGAGCTACTGCCGGTCGGCGCCGGCCAGCCGCCGGCCGCCACTCCGGCGGACGAAGGTTATGTCCAGTCGGCCACACCCGGCGCCCCGGCCAGCTGGCGCTGGCCGCCACGGCGCAGGGCTGGCTAACCGCCGATGTCGATCACGCCCGCCGCGGACGCCACCCCGGTCACGTGGCAAGGGTGGCCAGGTCACGTGGCCAGCACGCGAGCGCCACTGCTGACGGAGAGCCGTCGCTCTTTACAGTGAGATGAGGGTAGGACTCGTCGACACGCCTACTTCCGGTTCGACAGTGAGCAGCGTTTGATATCCGCCAGGCATGGGATGGACAGAAATCCAGACAGAAATCCAGAGTTCACCAGTCCACAGCAAAGCCATACCTCCCGCCTCAGAAACCTGTACTTGCGACAGCACCGCCCATGTCGTCGCACGCCTGCTGCTGCTGTGGGGAGAAGAGAGTTATCTACCGCCGCGCAAGGACATCGGGATGATACGGTGGTTTATAACCCCGGTTAGTCGAGTAATGACGTGGCGATGTGGGACAGGGAGCCAACCACAACGCCACTGCTTACAGCTCGATAACGCTACACCCATCTAGATGGTCATTAATCGCTCCAGATACAGAGGCAGGTGGAGAGAGATCAGTACAGCTATTCCTCGCCGGTGTAAGACCGGCGCTTTGGCCGCTGGAAACGGCTTGTGCCTGAATTTATCGTTCCGAGATACTGTCGTAGCCTACTTGTTACCACGTGACGTCAGCGTAATGCTGCAACGCCGCAGTTTTGCATAACTATGACGTAACAATACCGCAGCTCGCGAGTGCCGTAACGTTACGCTCATCTGCAACGACAGAAGCATACCATTGTTCCACCCGATACGTTTTCGTACCACTACGACCTTTCAACCAAATCAGCCGTATGCAAAACCCGTTATCATGTTGTAATTGCGTATCACGGCACTCAACGTGAGTGCAATCAAACATTGGCTGTATTTTTCTCGGCGGCGTCGTACCCCACAAAATGAATAACATCGCGGCCTAACGAACAGCCTGTGACCTTTTACGGCCCATTCGGGGCGTGGTTCTGTTGACCGCACTCCACTGCGGAGTAGATCAAGGTGAGCGCTAAAGATAAGCCAGCACAAAATACATCCAGGCGTATCCCTTCGCAATGGCTTGCATCAGTGTCCCACTGGTATCTCTGCCAAGAATTTCCGCCCGCATAACAAGGCTGAGTGCATAAGTATGGGAAAGCACGAAGTGGGCGTGCCGGGCAACAGCAAACGTGGCTGGGCCAGCGGGGTGAACGCGTTACAGCTGCGGGTAACGAATGCAGCCCGGGTCAGCCTAGCCTGCCACGGGTCATGCCTCTCAGTTGACAGCAGTCTGTCACGGCTCTGTCAGCCTCCCCTGTCAGGACTCACGCTCGTCAGCTAGCAGCCATCTGTCACGGCTCTGTCAGTCCCGTCTCTCATGACTCACTGTCACGACCCACGTTGGTCAGCTAACACCGGTCTGTCACGGCTCTGCCAGCCCTGCCTGTCGCGACCCACGCTGGTCAACTGGCAGCGGTCTGTCACGACTCTGTCAGCTCCGCCTGTCACGGGTCAGGTTAGTCAGCTGACGCCGGTCTGTCACGACTCACGCCGATCAGCTGACAGCGGCCTGCCACGGCTCTGTCAGCCCAGCCCTGCCCATGGGCACGGACGGTGGCAACGCAAGTGCCACACTCGCCTCACGAGGCCTCGACGGCTGCTCGCCCGCACGATTTGGAAATTCCCAGCGACAGGTGTGGCGCTGCTGGACGCCGCAGTGAGAAGGCCAAATGCTCGCAATGTCACGGCGGACGCTTGTGAGTGACCACATTCGCAGATGCGCTCGAGAAGGACGTGCTCAATGCTTGAGCGCTTAACGTGTTTAAGGTCATGCTTAACGCCGCCACACAGCAGTACTGTGCTGGGCAGACACAGCGGCAGGGGGGCTACAGTTGTCGTCAGATGGGGGTTTCTCCACACGCTGCCATGCTGCCAGTTGGCCAGTCGGCCATTCGGCCGGAGCAGGCCAGACCAGCTCCGTAGCACCCTTGACACGAGCGATCCCGGAAGTGGCAGTGGAGCTTGCTCTCGTGTCTGCAGTTCATTGTGTATAACTGTAGACATGACGGGAATGCCAGGCTCACTCCGTCCATACCGAATAGCCACTTTTCACCATTCCACAGTCGGCTTGTTTCGGTCCAAGCTTATTAAGGTCCTTCCTCTCATTATTTCGACGCCCATCTCCCTCTTTCTCTCACTCACTCTCCTCAACTCTCTCTCTCTCTCCTCTCTCGTCTCTCGTCATCTCCGCATCTCTCTCGGCTCTCTCCTCTCTCTCTTCTCGCTCAATCCTCTCTCTCTCTTCTTCCTCTCTCTCTCTCTCTCTCCCCTCTCTC